GGGACACAGGGACAGGGGGACACAGGGACAGGGGGACAAAGGGACACAGAGACCCGGGGACCCCACGGCAGGCCGGGCTCCGCCGATGCCGAGCACAGCTCGCCCCTTTCCAGCACAGCCTCTGTGCCTGCGTGACAACAGAGCGGGGCCTTTCCTGCTGGAACTGCTGAAACTGCTGCTCATTGCATGAGTCACAGCGAGGAACGACCAATGCACACCATTTCTGAAACTCTTTCCAGGTGGTTTTGGCTTTGATTGTTTGTTTTAACGGGTTCATAAACTTATCTCATTTGCAGAAGATGTGTACTTCTGTTGTTCATGTCTCTGTATTCAGACTCAAACCCACTGCATTTAGTGAGCACAGAACACAACTGTGAGGCCTCGGCTCCAGGGGAGGTCACACCAGAGTCCTGGCTGGATTTGTTTAACATTTGCTGCAGATGCAGTGGATCTCTGCTCTGTTGTAGAGAAGCATCTGCTCACTGGTGTCACAGGATTTAGAGGAGCTTTTCTAATCCTACATCAGGTCAGCCATTCTAGGCAGAGCACAATGGTAAATTCTGTATTGTCTCAGACTCTTACTACCATGGCCAGAAAAAGGAAGAAGCTCAGGGCTGCCAGTAGCAGCAAGTCAGTCTACAATGGGAAATATCCATGGCCTGTGAAAGCTGATGTGAAATTTTTCTGCCAAGTGAGGTTTCATTAATGGTTCAGGCACAAAATCATAATTAATAAAAAATAAAAATGGTCATTGCTGTTTTTAAAACTTTCAATGATACTTTTTAGGTTCTGAATGTCTTTCTGAGAAACCTTTTCCTCTGTGTGATGACAGCACTAACATGGAAGGTGGGAGACCTGATACACAAATTGCTCAATAGCCTCAGATAAGTTCCTAAATTCCTGCCTGCTCCCAACTCCCCAGAATCTCACTAGGGTTTGGAACAGATTTGTGTCACAGTGTGAGGTGAAAGCATGTGTCAAAAGTCAATAATCAAGGCAAGAAGAATGGCTTTGTTCCTCTAGAGCTGCATAAATAGCAGTAATAGCTGTACGTGACCAAAAGTAAAGCAGAAAATCACAAGGGTCAGGCTCTAAACAAAGGCTTTTATAGTTAGAGCAGAATTTAGTTATTTAGTCAAGTCTTTCAGAGAGATGTTAAAGTTTATAAATTCCCTGCTCTTCACCTCACAGCTGGACCTGATCCCAAGCCCCACACACACATGCACCAGCTATTCAAGACAGCAGTGGCTGCAGAGAAAGGAGGGCAGCCTGGAACACCAACTAATTTAAAAGAAACACAACCTTTGAAACTGAAGCAAGGTCAAAGCCTGCTCTCCCCTCCACACGAGTGTTACAGACCGATTTTAAATGCTCCCCTGTGTGGAGCCAACATACCACCAAAGTAGGGCCGCAGGTATTTGTTGTACCCCATGGTGAGGTTCTCAAATCCAGGGAGGGACGTGGTGCCCCTGCCATGCAAGCTGGATCCATGACCCAGAGAACTCCTGGGGACACAAACACCAACTGTTACAGGCTGGGCTGGGCACATCTGGTGTGCAGCTGCAGCTGCTTCCAGCTTGTGATCAAACAAACAAACAAACAAACAGTATAAAATAGTTATTAAAACCAAGTAGATAATTGAAATCACAAGCATTTGCTCACATTGCTGTCCTGGCTGAATAATTAGCACCTTCAAGAGGTGGGAAAATGGCAAATTGCCTCAGCTGATAGCTACAGGTTGCACACACAGTATCTTAAGAATGTTCTGTTCAAACAGAAAAACCAAACAAGATCTGTAGATCACAAGCCTGAGAAAAAAATCCCAATCTCCCCTTCCCACTCCTTCTTGTACAGTCTATTTAAGGAATATTATTTTCTTTTTTCCTCCCATTTATGACAAACTGAGACAAATCTTGCAGCCCAACAGCTCCTCCTCTCTAATCTCTAGTCCCCTAAATAAGCTTCTTCCTCATAACATGTGAGTGTCAGCTTCTACAGCAGCTGTCAGGAATAATACTGGAGGGGACAGGTGGAGGACTGTGCACTTCACAGACACCCCCTCAGCCTGTGGGCAGTGCTGCTCCAGCTGCTGGCTATCCTGAGGGTCCAACTCTAAATTACATTTACCTGTTGTGGCTGGTCACTGAAGGCAGAAGCTGAGTTACGAGGCTGACAGATCTGTACCTCACACTGACAGTGAGAGGGATAGGGTTTGGGCTGTAAAAGGTGAGTGTTAAGGTGCAGGGTGGCACTGCCTCACCTGAGAAAAGTGTAACAGTGAAAGGTTGGGAGTTTGTTCTTGCTTTGGGCAGCAGGAGGTGGGAGGCAGAGCCTTTGCTGCTCCCAGTGCCAGGACCTGTTCTGGGCAGGAAGCAGCCATGGAGTTACTCACAGCTCTCACCAAGGGTTTTCTTCTGTTTCCTTCACAGCTGAGTTAATAGGGCCTTGGAGCTGCAGGATTTAGACTAAGCAGGACCTTACAGCAAAATAAGGTGTTACACAGTATGTATGTAAACACTTCAACAAATTTGGGACTTGTACTGCCAAGGATGGTAATAACAGAGCTGGGAACCTTGTGGGAGGCATTTCTGGTAAAGAACTACAACCTGTGCTGGTTCTGAACAGGAAATCAGGGGTTGCACTGTTAATGGACATCATGTGGTTTAGGGACCTATGAAGATTGCTCTCTCCTATACCACGTCCCTGACTGCGCCCTGCCACCTTTGTGTAGGCTGGGCAACTAGAAGCATAGTTTCCTTTTGACCCACATTATTTATGTGAAACATCATTCAAATGTTCCCTTTAAAACAAAACAAACTCTACCCTTACCTTTGAGTTGGAAGGAAAAGACACAGACCAAAGAAGGAAAAATATCTGCAGAACATGTCTGGAGATTGTTTCTGTATTTGCTCTGCTTGTCTGTAAAGAAAAAAAGAAAGACAAAGTCTTGTGGTTTAAGAAAAATGATTTTAATTTTTTTAAGGGAAGGAGACAGGGAGCAGAAATGCTGCACAGTCAGAACCATCACAGGTTGATGTTTAACATACCTGATACGCAGTGGCTCCTGCCCTTTTTCCTGACTAGTCTCATTTTTCAGCATGTTCTTTCACTTACCACATAAAAAGCCCTGGTGACAACTCAGGTCTTGAAGTCCTCGACAAATTCTAGCTCCTCTTCTCTCCTCTCAGTAAGGGATGACAATAGCTGATGTTGAGAATGGCACCACAGGAACGGATTGATTAAACAGGAGAATGTGTGGGTAGCTCCCAGAGCAGTCAGACTCTGAAGCCAAGAGAGATCCTGCCCACAGATGGCTGTTTCAGCCTCTTTCAGTCGCAGGCTCCCCTGCCCAGCCTCACAGAAGTGCTGTAACTCTGTGCTCCATTGATTGTTTGTGGGATAAACCCCTGCGATTAACAGCAAAGCTGGCAAGCCACTCAGCATGCAGCAGAGCATGAGGTCATTGCACTTCAAAGGGGTTTCGTTGACTTTTCTGGGAGTGGAACCAATCTTGGCTGCTGGCCCCAGACTCCTCGGGCTTGTGCTGGCCTTGAGGCCACAGTGGCAGCTCTGAGCTGTGCTGTGCTCCCCTCTGTCTCCAGCTTCCTGCTGGAAGTGCTGCTCCAGTCACACTCCTTTTCTTCAGACCTAGCACCTCTCTCAGCACACATGGCATTTAGAGCCTCAGCCTCCAATGTGGCTGCACCATAATAACCCGAACATCATGAGTTTTCTGCTTGGGTTAGGTCCTTCCTGTAGAGCCCAGAGGACACTCTGCCTCCTCAGCCAGATGCACAGCTCTGGTGCTGTGCCACAGGACAAGCAGAGCACCAGGAAATGACAACTTTGCCCACACTGAGCCAGTAAAATACCTGAACGTTCAAGTACTATGAATGCAAGGCATCCCACTGGAGAAAGGATGGAGTTTTTTCAAAACACAATATGCTCTAATACCAGTCCCACATCTGAATTTCCAATAAGGCTTTGCTCTTCTAGCCCATTCTCTCTGAAATTGTACTCAGATGTTTCTAGATGCTCTTAAGGGCTCCTCAGTATAATGTGAGGATGCAGGACCAGAGAGAGAATAATTTACCCACTCACAGCAATATCAGACCACAATTGTGATTGAAAAGAAGGAAGATTGGTCCAGGTTGTTGAAATACTTTTAGAAATAAGTTAATTTTACAAATCAGACTTCAGTTAAAGTATGAGACTTCATGAACTTCATCTGAGGAACCCCTCATGAGCATCTCTAATGAATATCCCATGTTTTGCACAGGATGACCGTAAAGACAATAAATATAAAAGATTGGGAGGCAGTGAAACTGAAATCTATAAGTACTCCTGGGCAAGAGAAAGGTGACACCAGTGCCCAGAGCTGAATATAACCACAGTATTTCTTCACTGCTCAGTGTGTCAGTTAATACAACAGCAATTCTGCTGTTATAGGGCAGGAGCTTTCATCAGAAATTACCAGTAGTGGGAAGAAATTGTAATAAGGTTGTGTATTCATGTTTCTCTGTCCAGCATAGTGTTTCATTTTCACAGAAAAATGTAGCTTTAAACACTGTTTGGTGGCCAAAGGCCTAGTCAATACACCAAGAGGCTACAGCAAACACATGGCCACAAAATCCTCAGTGAACATGTGGGGGAATCTTTCTTCCAAGCTTCCAGGTAACAGGTAAATGTCAAATAAACTGTGCAGTTCCCCTGGTAATTCAGGATTACTCTCCTTGGTCCTGTGTGATGCCCGTGGCAAAGGGAACGGTGCTGGCAGGCACAGCTGGGGGAGCTCAGCATTCCATCCCTGCCCCGGCTGAGCTCTGCCAGCAGGAAAGGAGCCATGGACAGGATGGACAGGATCACTGTGTGTATGCTCTGGCTGAGCACCTATGGACAGGATCACTGTGTCTGTGCTCTGAGCACCTACGGACAGGATGGACAGGATGGACAGGATCACTGTGTCTGTGCTCTGGCTGAGCACCTACGGACAGGATGGACAGGATGGACAGGATGGANAGGATCACTGTGTCTGTGCTCTGGCTGAGCACCTACGGACAGGATGGACAGGATGGACAGGATGGATAGGATCACTGTGTCTGTGCTCTGGCTGAGCACCTACGGACAGGATGGACAGGATCACTGTGTGTGTGCTCTGGCTGAGCGCCTGAAGGACAGGATCACTGTGTCTGTGCTCTGGCTGAGCACTGCCCCGGCAGCTCCTGCCCAGGATGGGAAAGGAGCTGGCAGGGCTGAAGGGAGGGAGTGGGGTGAAAGGAGCTGCAAGTGATGCATTAACTGAAGGCTTGACAATCCGCTGACAGAGAAGCATGCAAAGAAAAAACAGGAGATGGGGCCTCGAGGAGCACAGTTCAGACACAATCATTCATCTTACACATCTATTAGTCTGCGTTTCTGCAGGGCAGTGAAACATTCCTCGCTGCAGGAAGTTTTGGGGGAAAACCAGCCACATACCCTCCTGAGCACCTCCACAGCCCATATATACCCAACACATTTATTTTGCTCTCGCAGGCAGCACAGTAAAAGCTGCACTGCAGCTGCACGTCCTTCCCTGCCAACGTTCAGTTTTCCTCAATAAATACTCAATATCTACAATAAGCACAAAGGTATTTCATCTGGATTGGTTTCCACATTACCTTGTTTTTAAAGGCCATTCAGCACCATGTTTCTTGGTGCAATATGGAATTTAATACAGTAGTAAAACAACCAAGAATTTTTTAAAATTCAGAATAGTTCTCATTTTAAATCACTCAAGAAATAGCATAAATGTTCCCCACTTCTAAGAACAGATAAATTAAGGTACACAGAGGTCAAGTTATCTGTCTTGAGTGTCTTCAGTAAGACTATCTGACAAGATGAATGACCCTCCTGCAGAACACGCACCAGCAGCTCAGATCACTCGAGGCTCACTCGCAGCTCTGCAGGAAATGCCGACAGCAGCAGCACTGCAGCCACACGAAGGCACTGCAGCGTTCCCCCTGCTGCTGTCTGAGCCCGCCCTCCAGATGTGCACTGCCGAATTTCCCTCCGCATTCTGCACATTCCAGTCGGACCCACTGCCCCAGACACGGGGCCCCTCCCTGCCAGGGCTGGGATGTGACCGGGCGCAGGCATTGCTCTGCCAAGTACCAGGGTTTTTTTAGCTAATCCTTCACACAAGTGACCATCAATAACTGCTAACCTACTTCCTAAAAGACACAGATCAATTGACATAATTATATATTATAACTCCTTTAAATATTAATGCCCTAACAGGGAGACAATTGCACTGGGCCTAGGGACTCCTCCACTATTAGAAATTATGCCCCAGCATTAAATAAATTAACTCAATAAGTGTCTTACCATGAATACAAATTCCTGCTTAGGGCTTGCAGATAAAATTATTTAGAGCTGTTCTTTGAGGAAAGATGAGGTGTTTAAACTTGCAAAAGAGCAAGGGCAGCTATATTCATTAGTCTTTTGTTTCAAATGAACTGCTTTGTTTTAAACTCAAGGCATCCCTTGTAGAAGGGAGAAGGAAGAATCTGGAACATTGTTACATTTCTTCCTCTGGGCTGCGCAGTTTCAGTCCTGCAAAGATGCAGATGTCTGCTCCAAACCCCAAAGGCAGCTTAGGGCCAGGCCAGCTCTGCCCCAGAGGTGCCCAGCGCCGTCAGCATCACATCCCACAGCACAGAGCACTGCAGGACACAGGAGGAGTCCTGGCTGTGGCGCTGGCCAGCAACCTGTGCTGCTGCCTTGCTCCCGTGGGGTCTGGCGGGAGGTGGGCACGGCCACCAGCTCTGAGAAACTTCATCTGGATCCCGAGGCTGGAGGGAGCTGTTCGCCGTGCCCCGAGGGAGGTTCAATTTTATCTCAAAAGTGGATGCATTGTTTCTGCCTTTTACTTTTCAGTTTGTACATACAAACAGTTCAGAACTGCAAGGTACACATGAAGGACACAATTCAGGATTAAATTCCACTTGACTGAAACAGAAAGGTTTGTGGAAGAGGCCATAGATTCAGCTTATTTCTTTTGCTATAGATAGAGGAAAATTCCCATGAAAGCAGCACACGGAGACCCTTAAACACAGAGAATTTTACAAGTGGCTCAAGGAGATTTCCTCGGCAGCAGCCTCCTCCTTTTCCATGCCTTCTCTGCTGCACTGGCTTTGCACAGGTACTTGTTGCATGCCCAAGGGATGTATCAGTGAGCTGCTGAGCTGTTGTGACACAAACCCTCCCAGCAGGAATGCTGCTTGTATGCTGCAGCTTTTACCTACAGTGTCTGAATTCCCTTCTGAGCTCCCTGAGGGCTGGGAGAAATTTAATACAGGTCTCAAAATTGAGAAATTGACACAAAAAGAGAGTGTGGGCAGGGAGAGGGGGGTGCAGTCTGCTTGGGAAGGGGGGGAGACACAAGCAGTGGCAAGAGTAGTTCTCTCTCTCCCCCCCTTACTGACCCCCACATCCCCAGGACTGAGAACCCACTGTGCTGCCTGAGGTACCACAGCAACGTCAGGCACCCCCAGCACCTGTGGGGACCATTTCCCAAATCCTGGGTCAGCACTCCCAGCTGCCTCAGTTTCCCCACAGGCCTCATTTACAGATACCACCAGCCCAAGCTGACCCCACTACCCAGTGGCCAATGCTCACCCCTGGGCAGCCCACACAGACACCACCAGCCACCAGCACAGGGCCATCACATTTAGGGCCACCCAGCTCTGCAGCTCCAGCTGCAGGAAGATGTGTCTGTGCTAAGATGTACTAAGAATGAATGTCAAAGCAACCTGCAAAATGGGAGGTGAGAGCAGTGACGTGCCAGCCCTGAGCAGCAGCTGCAGCCCTGTGGGAGGGCAGCAGCAGCGCTCACCCCGTGCCAGCCCTGCTGCCACTCCCGTGCCAGCCCTGCTGCCACCCCTGTGCCAGCACCTCCGAGCGCTGCAGCCGGGGCTGGTCCTCGCTGGGATCCTGGGGGAGATGATTCCTTAATAGACTGCTCTGTGTGCTAGCACAGGGCCACTGAGGGAGGAATACCTTACCAGCCCTGATCTGGCTTTACAGCCTGCTTGCTGCTCTGGTTCTGCCTCCCAAGAGCAGGATTAATTGCTGGGCTAGAAAATGGCGATAAAACAATCAGTTCATAGCACATTTATTTTCTGTAGCTCTGCATTGGGTCCTGGCAGCTTCAAGCAGAAGAAAAACCCACTCATGCTACAGGGAGAGGTGAGGGTGGGGCTCTTGCCAAAGACTACCTGCAGAAAGGAGCAGGGCAAGGCAGGGGCTCAGCACCGGCAGTGACCTGGAGCCAAATGCCACCCCAGCAGCAGCAGTACTGCCCCACTGCAGCCTTCTAGGTGACTGCCAAGCCAGACCATTGCGTCACTTATCTTTCTAGATTTTCCAAAATAAATGCCTGAAAGACAGACTAGAAAGAGGAGGGAGAAAACTGACATTCTGTGAAAAGAAATGCTGTTTTATACTCTAGGCTTATTTACATCAAACTCTGTAACTTGACAACGGTGTCTACAGCAACAGAGAAAATAAACCACTCAGTCATTACCAGTAGGCTTTTTTTGGGTGAAATGACACAGCAAACACAGACCTCAAAGCAGACTCAGACAGCACAAGAACCACTTTTAGTCAGTGCTTTCCCACCCATGGCCCTGGTCCCAGGCTGCAGTACTGCTCAGCCATCCCCATTGGCTGAGGCCTTTGCCAAGGAACACATAAATCCAGGTAGTGACCCTTCCCTTCCCTTCCCTTCCCTTCCCTTCCCTTCCCTTCCCTTCCCTTCCCTTCCCTTC